CCAGTTACGTATTGCTAGTGTTAGGCGTTGCAGTAGCCAGTGTTGAAGTGTTGCAGTAGCCAGTGTTGGGTGTTGCAGTAGCCAGTGTTGAAGTGTTGCAGTAGTCAGTTTTGGAAGTATTACAGTATGGAGTTGGCAGTAGCCAGTGTTGGGCGATGCAGTGCCTGTGTTGAAGTGTTGGGTAGCAAGCGTTGGTGCGTTGTAGTATGTTGCAGTAGTCGGTGTTGGAAGTGTTGCAGAAGAGGTGTTGAAGGTTGCAGCATCAGTGTTGCAGTAGCAAGTGTTGGAAGTGTGTTGCAGTAGTACAGTGTTGGAAGTGCAGTATACAGTGATGCAGTAGCCAGTGTTGGAAGTGTTACAGTATATAGTGTTGCAGTGGCCAGTGTTGGAAGTGTTACAGAATATAGTGTTGGAGTAGCCAGTGTTGGAAGTGTTGCAGTAGCCAGTGATGGAAGTGTTGCAGTAGTCAGTGTTGGAAGTGTTACAGTATATAGTGTTGCAGTAGCCAGTGTTGGAATTGTTACAGTATTTAGTGTTGCAGTGGCCAGTGTTGGAAGTGTTACAGTATATAGTGTTGCAGTAGTCAGTGTTGGAAGTGTTACAGTAGCCAGTGTTGGAAATGTTGCAGTATACAGTGTTGCAGTAGTCAGTGTTGGAAGTGTTGCAGTATATAGTGTTGCAGTAGCCAGTGTTGGAAGTGTTACAGTATATAGTGTTGCAGTGGCCAGTGTTGGAAATGTTACAGTAGAGTGTTGTAAGTGTTGCAGTAGCCAGTGTTGTAAGTGTTGCAGTAGCCAGTGTTGTAAGTGTTGCAGTAGCCAGTGTTGGAAGTGTTACATTATAGTGTTGCAGTAGCCACTGTTGGAAGTGTTACATTATAGTGTTGCAGTAGCCAGTGTTGGAAGTGTTGCAGTAGCCAGTGTTGTAAGTTTTGCAGTAGCCAGTTTTGAAAGTGTTTCAGTATACAGTGTTGCAGTAGCCAGTGTTGGATGTGTTACATTATAGTGTTGCAGTAGCCACTGTTGGAAGTGTTACATTATAGTGTTGCAGTAGCCAGTGTTGGAAGTGTTGCAGTAGCCAGTGTTGTAAGTTTTGCAGTAGCCAGTGTTGAAAGTGTTTCAATATACAGTGTTGCAGTAGCCAGTGTTGGATGTGTTACAGTATATGGTGTTGCAGTAGCCAGTATTGGAAGTGTTACAATATATAGTGTTGCAGTAGCCAGTGTTGGAAGTGTTGCAGTAGCCAGTGTTGGAAGTGTTACAATGTATAGTGTTGCAGTAGCCAGTGTTGGAAGTGTTGCAGTAGCCAGTGTTGGAAGTGTTACAATATATAGTGTTGCAGTAGCCAGTGTTGGAAGTGTTGCAGTAGCCAGTGTTGTAAGTGTTGCAGTATACAGTGTTGCAGTAGCCAGTGTTGGAAGTGTTGCAGTAGCCAGTGTTGTAAGTGTTGCAGTATACAGTGTTGCAGTAGCCAGTGTTGGAAGTGTTGCAGTAGCCAGTGTTGGAAGTGTTGCAGTAGTCAGTGTTGGAAGTGTTGCAGTGGCCAGTGTTGGAAGTGTTACAGTATACAGTGTTGCAGTAGCCAGTGTTGGAAGTGTTACAATATATAGTGTTGGAGTAGCCAGTGCTGGAAGTGTTGCAGTAGCCAGTGTTGTAAGTGTTGTAGTAGCCAGTGTTGAAAGTGTTGCAGTAGCCAGTGTTGGAAGTGTTACAGTATACAGTGTTGCAGTAGCCAATGTTGGAAGTGTTACAGTATACAGTGTTGCAGTAGCCAGTGTTGGAATTGTTACAGTATATAGTGTTGGAGTAGACTGTGTTAGAAGTGTTGCAGTAGCAAGTGTTGGAAGTGTTACAGTATACAGTGTTACAGTAGCTAATGTTGGAAGTGTTACAATATACAGTGTTACAGTTGCTAATGTTGGAAGTGTTGCATTACCCAGTGTTGGAAGTGTTGCAGTATACAGTGTTACAGTAGCCAGTGTTGGAACTGTTGCAGTGGCCAGTGTTGGAAGTGTTATAGTGGCCAGTGTTGGAAGTGTTGCAGTAGCCAGTGTTGCAGTAGCCAGTGTTGGAAGTGTTGCAGTAGCCAGTGTTGGAAGTGTTGCAGTAGACAGTGTTGGAAGTGTTGGAGTAGGCAGTGTTGAAAGTGTTGGAGTAGCCAGTGTTGAAAGTGTTGCAGTAGCCAGTGTTGAAAGTGTTGCAGTAGATAGTGTTGGAAGTGTTGCAGTAGCCAGTGTTGGAAGTGTTGCAGTAGCCAGTTTTGGAAGTGTTGCAATAGCCAGTGTTGGAAGTGTTGCAGTGTTGGAAGTGTTGCAGTAGCCAGTGTTGGAAGCAGTAGATAGTGTTGGAAGTGTTGCAGTAGCCAGTGTTGGAGTGTTGCAGTAGATAGTGCAGTAGATAGTGTTGGAAGTGTTGCAGTAGCCAGTGTTGGAAGTGTTGCAGTAGCCAGTGTTGGAAGTGTTGCAGTAGCCAGTGTTGGAAGTGTTGCAGTAGCCAGTGTTGGAAGTGTTGCAGTAGCCCAGTGTTGGAAGTGTTGCAGTAGATAGTGTTGGAAGTGTTGCAGTAGCAGTAGCCAGTGTTGGAAGTGTTGCAGTAGCCAGTGTTGGAAGTGTTGTAGTACCCAGTGTTGGAAGTGTTGCAGTAGCCAGTGTTGGAAGTGTTGCAGTAGCCAGTGTTGTGTTGCAGTAGATAGTGTTGGAAGTGTTGCAGTAGCCAGTGTTGGAAGTATTGCAGTAGCCAGTGTTAGAAGTGTTGCAGTAGCCAGTGCTGGAAGTGTTGCAGTAGCCAGGTTTGGAAGTGTTGCAGTAGCCAGTTTTGGAAGTGTTGCAGTAGCCAGTGTTGGAAGTGTTGCAGTAGATAGTGTTGGAAGTGTTGCAGTAGCCAGTGTTTGATGTGTTGTAGTAGCCAGTGTTGGAAGTGTTGCAGCAGCCAGTGTTGGAAGTGTTGTAGTACCCAGTGTTGGAAGTGTTGCAGTAGCCAGTGTTGGAAGTGTTGCAGTAGCCAGTGTTGGAAGTGTTGCAGTAGATAGTGTTGGAAGTGTTGCAGTAGCCAGTGTTGGAAGTGTTGCAGTAGCCAGTGTTAGAAGTGTTGCAGTAGCCAGTTTTGGAAGTGTTGCAGTAGCCAGTGTTGGAAGTGGTGCAGTAGCCAGTTTTGGAAGTGTTGCAGTAGCCAGTGTTGGAAGTGTTGCAGTAGATAGTGTTGGAAGTGTTGCAGTAGATAGTGTTGGAAGTGTTGCAGTAGCCAGTGTTGGAAGTGTTGCAGTAGCCAGTGTTGGAAGTGTTGCAGTAGCCAGTTCTGGAAGTGTTGCAGTAGCCAGTGTTGCAAGCATTACAGTAGTTTCTGAACACTCTTATCACAGGTGTCTTCTGGGTGAGGGACGATACAGCCACTCACCTCGTTAAGACAAAGTAATTGTGTAAGTTTGAACGTAACGTCTCTTTCTTACAATGCGGACCTACACCTGTATCAACACAAACCCATACACAATATGCTAATCCGACCACATGTTTACCCAAACTATCTTCATAATCCGACCACTTAAATGCAATCCCATCAAATCTATATTGATTATGTAAAGCGGACAGTAGAGCGCAGCGACCACTTTAGTAAATTCCGGATACCGACCACCACGTTTGGTTACTTTTAGCACTGTAACTGTGTGAGTCTTGCGAGTGTAGCATTTCAGCGTCACCTGGTGGTTGTTGGTGGCCAGGTGTCGTAATGTTCACTGTGAGGACTAAAAAAGACAGGTGAGATGAGGTTAGGTGAGGTGGCATGCAGCAACGGCGAGGAACACAGTCTTTAACAGCAGACGACGCAAGACCAAACTTAACGTGTTGGAAGAGGAAGGGGGAGGGGGAGGGAGAAAGGTAGGGGGAAAAGGGAGTGGAAGGGAGGAGTGGGAATGGGAGGTAGAGAGGGAGAGGAAGGGGTGGGAGTGGGTTGAACATAACATAAGAGTAAGAATGGAGGAAACTGCAGTGGGCCTATTGGCCTATACTGTGCAGTCCTGCATCTAGGGCAGGATTCCTAGTCATTACGATGAAAATGACGATCACGATCATCACGATGTATCGTGTGTCGGAATGCAACGACACAACGCTGAGCGCCATATTCCTAGTCACTTACGTGAGATTGTAACTAGGAATATAGAGCGTGTAAAGACTGCAGATCATGTCGGATGGCAAAAAAAAAAAATTGGCCATGCGCGGTTGCCAAATGCATTATTTCACATAATTAGAAAGACGATTTAGAGAGATATTTAGTTGTTATTTTATACCGGCACAATAATATATTGCAAATTTTCTTTTTTCTTTTTATCAAATTGAACTTTAGTATCTGTTCGAAACAAATTACAGCTACTTTTTTCATCTGAGTACTTGGCAAACAAAATTGCCCAGTTGTTATGAAACATGGAGACGAGAGTGTGTTCTGCAGCCCTGTCAGAAACCCAGCACATAGCACTTTTGCGCCTTGTCGAGCAAAGGACAATCATCGAGGACAGGTCTACTAGTACATAAATGATAAGAAAAGAAAGGTCTGGGATGAAATTATTGCCTCATTCAACACGAGCAACCCAGACCAACTCCCTCGCACAGCCAAGCAGCTCAAGAGGAGCTACAAACACATAAAAGGAAGTAAGTATATGCTTCTTTCTAAGTTTAGTATTTAAAAATACGGTGTTCTGCCATTAGGTTACTAAATTGAGTAGGATTACAGTATTTAAGTGACGGGTCATGTGAGGAATCCCACCTCCTACCGAAGTAGACAGAAGGAAAGCTCCCATCTCATCTCCCCATTTTCCCTTCCTTCATATAATTTTATGATCTCGTTGAGTTATATATCAAAATAAATGTTTTTTATGTCTACTTTCATAAATTATATATGCCTATATGCTATTCGATGTGGGTTTCTGAGTAAGATTAACCATATAGTTAAATATGTGAAAGTGTAGCTATTGATTTATTTTTACTCCTAAGAGTGCTAGGTTAAAATTGTGTATGATATCTGAAAAAAAAATATGAATTCAAAAAGGAACTGGTATGGAGGGTAGAACAGTAAAAGTGCTTCAACCATACTTGGTTAGGTTCTCTTGTTTGAAATCTTTAATGTTAGTCTTTACCCATACAATGACTATATACAAGCTATACAGTATCAGAACAATTGCCCCCATTGCCAGTGAATAACTTGCACAAAACATGGAACACAAGATTTGGTGTACTTTCCATTAGGTGCCTGGCAATATTTTATGACCATGACATGCACCAATAAAAATGGGCAAGTAGTATGGGGCTGGTGCCCCCACTAGGCAAGCCAAAATATTCTGGCAAGATAAGCTTCAAACAGGTCTATGGTCAGTTTCTGAAGGGTCACCTCCAAAGACTTGTCAGAAGCATACGAGTCCTCATTACCAGCATTATCATAATAAATTTTAATGCAGATATGACTGTCGCCTAGTATTGTATAAAGCATTTATTTTCTTATGTTTCTTTCAGAACTAAAAACAGAGATATAGAAAAGCGAAAGAAGCTAAAAAAGACAGGTGGTGGTCCTCCAGAAAAACTAAGCTTCAGAAGAAATCGCCACCCAGGGCTCGTGTCATGCGGAAGACTTCTGCAAGTGTACCTTCTGCTTCACTTCCTCACTCCCATGATCCACTTGTTTTGACCTGTTCCAACCCCAGGGCCATCAACTGTGTCTTCTGCACAATCTACTTCTGTTTTTTGACCTCTAATTTCACACTCTGTTTCTGCCTCACCAATCAATGCTCCTGCCTCACCAGTCATTGTGAGAAAAGACAAGAGGAATTCCACAAATATAAATTGTACACAATGAAAAGGGAGCATGAGGAGGAACTGAAAGTGAAGGAGGCCATAATATCAGCACATACATTCAAAGAAAAAGAAAGTGAAACTGTAATTAGAGTGATTGAACAGACACTTGAAAAAAATAATAAATCTTTGAATTGTTAGATACATGTTTAAGGAAAGCATCAGCTGCATATGATGCCATGGCTAATACTTATGAATGATGGTTGAGTAATAACATACAGTCATATGCAATGTTTATGATTTTACTATATGCTGTGATATTTCAGAAAGTGGCATCTAGATTATAAATTTATTTTCTTATGTTTTACACATTAAAATAATTCGATTTAAAGGAAATAAATCTTTTCTTTATTTTGCCAAAGAATTTCATTGGTTAAAAAAGCTGTCAGTAGTATGGCAGCTAAGATTTTTTTATATACTGTTCAGGTATGCTGTGATTTTAAATAATTGCATTTCTTTTACTGTGCTAAAGACTAAAGTTCTTTTTTTTGTAGATTTATAATACAGATTGTGATGTTCAAAGTACTGGATAGAGGAGATTTTTAGTTTATTAATTTTTATGCATTCATATAATTTACTTTAGAGAAAATAAGCCAGCATTTCTTTTTTGTGCCAAAGGCAGAAATAAATTTTCATATCAGTGTTACGAGTTGGGGATTTAAAATATAGTTATACGTCTACCCAGATCCCAACAGGTAACAAAAAAAAAAAACAAAGACAATCGGACTATAAAAGGGTAGACAAAGGATGCGAGTTTTCGTTGTGTATAATAAAGTACCATAAATCCCTTAACAAAATATTCAGCTTATAAATTACCCTTAACCAAACTTAACCTAAACATTAACAGTATATACATATTAATAAAACATAAAACAATCGTGAAGCGAGTGAACGTGGGGGAGGCAATACAAGATTACAAATACTTAAGTGAGGAGCTGAGATGGCTGACGAGTAAGGCTGAGTATTGTAGAAGACGGTAGGTAGTCACTGTGCCGTAGGTTTAGAGGATAGATGATCCTGTGGTCACTTCCCAGAGTGTAGTGCTCTCTCCTCGAATTGGAGCTCACAAATAAGACTTGGAGGAAGTGACGCAACAACCAGGATATGGAGAAGGGAAACCCCGGAGTGTTAACTAAGACGAGTCATACTCGTGTCTCGTCCCTAGATGGCGTTGCTCGTGGTGCTGGGTAGGTAGATCAAGACAATAGATGGCGTGGTTCGTAGTGCTGGGTGGAGGGGTTCGTAACACACCCCCCCTCCAAAGACCTCCGTAGCACGGCGCGAAGGAGGTGATCACCTGGTGCGTCTGGAGAGTAGCTGCTGCATTCCCACTGGAGCTCGGGATAAGGAGTCTGCAATCAGGTTGTCCACCCACTTTATGTGCCGGACTTGTAGATTATAGGGCTGGGTGAGGAGAGCCCAGCGGAGGATTCGCTGGTTGGAGGTCTTGTTGGTTTGGATGAACGTGAGTGGGTTATGGTCGGTGAAGACTAGGGTTGTTTGTGGGCAAGACTGGAGGTAACATTCAAACTTCTTTATTGCCAACACCAGAGCCAGGGCCTCCTTCTCTATGGTCGAGTAGTTGGTCTGATGTTTTTTCAACTTGGCGGAGTAGTATGCCACAGGGTGAAGGACATCAGTGGTTGGGTCGGGTTGTAGGAGCACAGCCCCCACTCCGACACCGCTAGCGTCGATTTGCAGATGGAAGGGCAAGGTGTAGTCAGGGGGGTGGACTACAGGCTTGGAGGCAAGGAAGGCTTTGAGGCGGTGGAAAGACTGGTCGCACCTCTGGTTCCAGATGTAAGGGACCGCAGAACTGGTAAGGTCTGTGAGGGGTCCGGCCACGCTGGAGAAGTTACTGCAGAACCGACGGTAGTAGCCGCACATCCCCAGGAAGCGCAGAGTTCCTTCCTCGTCCTTGGAGTGGGGAAGGACAAGATGGCTCTAACGTTTGCGTCCTTGGGTCTCACCATACCATGCCCAACGATATGTCCCAGGTAAGTCACTGAGGCCCGGCCAAAAGCAGATTTAGCCAGGTTTATGGTGAATCCAGTCTCTTGCAGTCGTGCAAACAGTATCTCCAAACGCACCAGATGTTCGTCCCAGCTGTCCGACACCACCACCAGGTCATCCAGGTAGGCGAACGTTC